TATACACTCGTGCATGACCTGAGGTTTTTAGCACATTTTTAATGCAGTTTTTGTGGCAAAACTAGGTGCCTCGCTGATATTCAGGTTGGCTTATCCTCAAGTATGTATAGTAGTTGTACTCTGATGTATATAGTGCCACCACTCAGAGAGCAACTGGTTTTGCCCATTTTAAATGACATATAGAGTGCACTGATCATCAGTTGTTGAACTCAATTTGTTCAAATTCACGTTTAAACACTGAAAAGTTTGGGAACTGAATATATATTTTCCCATAAAAAGTAATGGCAAACAAAACAAAACAAAACACAAGAAAGAAAAGCTTGTAGTTAGTTCAAGGATTGTTTGTTGGCCTTTAGGAGTGCTTTGCAGTCCAGTCTGTTGGGGCACCATGCCCTGGCCCCAAAGTCCACCTTCAGCATTCCCTGGGGACCTCGCCGCTCTGTTCCCTTGCTGTTCTGTTGTACCTCCTCAGTGTTTTGCCTCGGTGTGGTGGGATCAGATCTGGCACAATTCCCACACTGTGTCTCTGGTGCTGTCCCCTATAGAGCTATGGGTCAGTGGGGGACATCATGTCTCATAGTGGGACTGCCATGTGGTCCTCTCTGTGGACTGGCTGCTCTAATCAGGAACATCATCTTCAAGGCCTGGTGGGCCAGGATGTGCTCCACTCTCTCCTCCTCCCCCTTCATCTGCTCCCCTGTGCTCCAATCAGATATGTCCCTCTCCCAGAGCTGCAGATTCAATGTCATCCTCTGAAATAAATTCTTCTGGGGGGAGGGGCAGGTGTCCACGTAGTAGCTGGGTTTGGGGACGGCCTCTCAGACCTCTACACTTGTTCCATACTAGACGCTGGCATGTTGCATGCACAACTTGGACCACTATGTTGAAGTCTGGCCCCTCTTTCCCTGTGGACATATAAATAATACCCTCCCCTTGGGTGGGTTAGTGCTCTAGGCCCCCACTAACCATTTCTTTTTTATTATTATTTTTTCCTTTCCCCTCCTTCTTGCTAGTTGTCTACCATATGTATCCTTGTATTTGGTATGGTCCCTGCCATGCTACCTGGTCCTCACTGAAGGAATGTTTGCATACAGTAGTGTTTTCCCTATGCCCCTTTTGCATTATTTTTTTTAAAGCTTACCTCCCCGGACTCATGTTGTACTTGTCCTTTTGTGCTTGGCTTACTTCGCTTAGCATGATTTTCCCCAGCTCTTCCCATGCATCAATGTGCTTCACACGTTCATCACTGCTTTTTGGTGATATGTAGTACTCCATTATATGCATGTACCACAGCTTTTGAATCCACTCGTCAGCTGATGGAAGTTTGGGTTGTTTCCGACTCCTTGCAATTGAGAACTGTGCTGCAATGAATATTGGAGAACAGATGTCTGGCCTTCATTTTTTTCTTGCCTCTTCTGGGTATATTCCCAGTAGAGGGTTCACTGGGTCTTTTGGTAACTCAATTTCCATCTGTTTTAGATATCACAAGATCGATTTCCCTAGTGGTTCTACATACTTACAGGTCTACCAGCAGTAGATGAGAGTTCCTCTCTCCCCACAGCCCCTCCAACACTTGCTGCTTTCTGATTTTTTGAATTGTGCTATCTTTGAGGGTGTTAGGTGGTACCTCATTCCTGTGATAGGCTGGATGAACAATCTGGAAGAGAAAACAACGGGACTGACAGTTCTGGGGGGACATGGGAGAGGAGGAGGTGGGGAGGAAAGGTAGTGGTGTTAAGAAACCCAGGGACAAGGGAATAACAAGTGATCCAAATCAGTGGTGAGGAGGGTGTAGGAGGCCTGGTAGCGCATGACTAAGGGTAATGTAACCAAGAGGAATTACTGAAGCCCAAATGAAGACTGAGCATGATAGTGGGACAAGAGGAAAGTCAAAGGAAATAGAGGAAAGAGCTAAGAGGCAAAGGGCATTTATAGAGGCCTAAAAAAAGGCATGTACATATGCAAATATATTTATATATGAGGATGGGGAAATATAGATTTTTGTGCATATATTTATAGGTTTAGTATTAAGGTAGCAGAAGGACATTTGGCCTCCACTCAAATACTC